CCCCATACCCCCCCCAATCCCCGAAAGTTTCTCAGTGGATTTGGGCTGTACTCAGCAAGTGCAGTACAGCCCCCAACTCAGATTTGAAAAAAAATCAGTGGATGGATGTTTTCTGACCGGTTGGCCCTACTGGTCGGCTGCAAAACAGTCGGCGGTTGAGGTCGGCTGTCGGCAGGTATGCAACCCTGAATGAGATTGAATTAGTGCTTTTTCTCAGGCAGCGTGGGTGACAATGAGCCTGAGTGGACACTACAGTGTCCCGACCGGGCTGGCTGCCGTGTTGGGTTCTGACTGGCTCCAGTGCATCCCCATGTGCTCAGGGAGGCTGCGAGGACGTCCCTATAGGGCAGTACACCCAAAACATAGGGGGGCAGATTGGTCTGGGCCATGGATCATGGAGGATTGGGGGCCCAGATTTGCGCTCATTCTCACGGGGGGGTGTGGCCCTGCACGACGATCAAATTCAAATGCCCCCACCTGGTGTGGCCTGGCATTGCAGACATACTCTGCCAGCAGTCAGCCTCAGTGGTCGCCATCGTGCTTCCCTACCATGGTCAGTGTCTCTTGCCTCATCAGGAGCGACAGCTCTCTTCTACATGTTCTTCATCTACCTTTCTCGAATGTGGGCTGATACTCCCACTGGAAGATGGAGAATTGGCTGTTATTAGAGGGGGGGGGGGGGGGGGGGGGGGGGGGGGGGGGGGGGAAGAGAGAGAGCGGTTCTCCTCCCCCCTTCCCCCCACCAAACCCCAAGTCAATAACCATTCCCCCCAAATGGGTGTTTCTTGCGCTGCGAATTGATAACTTCTGCCTCACCACTGGTGACCTGTTTCCCCCAGTCGCAGTCTCCCATCTCCCCTAATTGCTACCCCCCTTGGGGCTGACCTCCTCTGCCCCTGCTCATGGCCCAGCTCATGGTTTCGTGATCCTCTTGTCCACATCTTCGCCCCTCCATTTAGTCTTCCCTTCCCTGGCCCAATTCTGGCTCCTGACAGCCAACCAGTATCTCCTTCCTGCCAACTGACCCCTACACACCAAATTGCCATCTCATCCCCCCCCGTCAGCATCCCCTTCCCTCCCAATAGCATCCTCTTCCGCCCTCCTAATCGCTGTCTTGCACCCACCTTGCTAGCCCGCACATCTGGTCCTGACCTCATCTTCCCTGGTTGGAGACCTCCTTTCCCCCAATCAGCATTTCCTCTCATTTCCACTGCAATTGGTGTCCTCTAACCGTCCAACTGCATCTCTTTCCCCTGCAGTGGTCCTCCCAAATTGGTGTCCCCTTCTCCTCCAATTGTGACCCTTGCCCCCCAACTGCAACTGTTTCCAGCACTGTGCGTATCCCCTCACGCTCAGGCAGTATCCCCTTCATGCCCAATTGCAATCACTTCCCCACGGCCTCTATCTCCCACTCCTCTGAATCACTATCTCCCACCCCACTCCTCCCTGGCAATCACGATCCCTTGCCCCCGAATCTCTATATCGCGCCTCCTTTTGCTATATCCTA